TGTTGTTGTATTTAATATTTTATTTTTCAAAAATCTTATTTCATCCGAAAATAGAGATAAAAAAAATGAAGCAATAGAAAATGTGAGATAGAGTTGATAATATAAATGAATACAAGAAAAAATATAATAATTAAAGTAACATTTAATGGTATGTTGAAATATGTTAATGAATTAATAATGTTTTTATAGATAATAATAATAATAATAATAATAATAATAATAATAATAATAGTTTTATGTTTCAATTGTGTTACTTGTAGAATAAAAAAGTAAAATGGAACGAATAATATTTTTATGATCTTTTTAATGTTTTCTCATTTTATAAATTTTAGAACTAAAAGAGCGAAAAAGAATCTTATATTCAATTGATGTTTTTCCTTTTCTTTTGTTTTAATTTCTAAAAAAATATATTAACTATGAAAGTCACAAACATAATTCAAAGTGTTTTATGTGGAAACATATATATTTATATGAATAATAAATGAAATTACAAATTTTAGAATTAAATTAGTTATGAAAATGGATCAGCACAAATAAGAAAGATTTGTAATTTGTTTTTCATAAGTCACATTTAGTAATTAAACAAGTATACATCAACTCAAATCTAACTATGTGTCAAAATATATACATAAATAAGTAATAATTAGTGATAGACAACCCAAAAGAAAAAAAAAATAGGTCATTTTATAATTTTGATAGAGGTAATGATTGTCTTGTCCATTATAGCTTTCCAAATAAACTTAGACAATAGTGACATGCAAATTAAGCACTTCACTAATGAAATTTCACATAACCTTAAAATTAAGTGTTTTTTTATAAAAATATATTGAAAAAATGAGTGTGGGCCCAGGCTCACACTGATCTCTTAATAGCTCCGCCCCTGATCTCTTAATAGCTCCGCCCCTGGCCGTGTTAAAAATATACAAGTCTATCCATTAGTAATTTTATTTTAATTTTTCTTAATATTATTTGTAAATTTTTATCAAGTATCATACTTTAAAACATATAAAAATACGGAATCATACAATATCTCATACATTTTTTAAAATATGACAAGTGATAGTTGAAATATAGATTGTGTCATACTTGAACTTATATTAAACTTTGTTATAAATTTGGTAAGATTGATGTTGGGCAAATTAAATTGTAAGAACGGAGCTCTACCAATCTAGCACATTATAAATAAATATTAACATCTTAAAATTGAATTGTCATATTCTAAATAGTAACATAAATAAGAATATGACGTTTCATAATATAATTATATTTATTTTTATCAAGAAAGTTGATTTGTCTAATACTTAATTAGGCCAACACATATAGTAATTTCTAAATTCTTGTATGAAACAGTATAACCGTTAGACGGATCAACTCACTATATTATTTTAACAACCAAATGTCTTACTTCTATTTATATATGTTGTTCTTTAAAATACGACATTTCTAATAAAAAAATATATATTTATAAAAAAATAAAAAGATAGTACCTTGATTAAACGATTACGCTAGTTTAACACGAGACATAAAAATTCCTGTTTGTTATAATATGACAGGGTCGTGGAAATTTTAAATTCTACAATTAGTCACCATTTTATTTTAGATTTAATTGAAAACCTGTCTCTAGACTTCGTCTCAATTCTTTATTGATTACTTTGTAGAAAACGTCACAAATCAACTATTTCTGGTCAATAATATTGATATTGCACGTAAATGAAATAAATGTAATAAAACCGCTTAATTAGTCAGATATAATTTTGTCAAAGTAATTCGGCCACCAAACTTAATATTTGGACTTAATAAGCCATTGATCCATGCACTTATTTATTATTAGAATTAGAAAGGACATCTAACAAAATTTCATGCCAGAAAGTTTTCAAACGTCAATTTAATCTAATCCATTAACAGAATTCTGGTAATTATACAAAGTGATCATATTGATAACAACGACTAATTGGAAATACCTCTATAGTATACGATTAATTTAAGTCTTCCATACAGCGTTTATAGATAAAGATAAACGCAAGTGTTTTAATTTGATTCGTCCTAATGTCACGTCAACTTATCATATAATGTTATAAAAATACATATAAAATTTTATAAAATATTATAATATTATTTATGTTATGTGTTATATTATGTGATATTTATATTTGTTGTAAGTTCATCTATCTGTTGAAAAGTACGATTATTTATTCGTTAAGATTACTAAACAATATTCTTACCCAAGGATTAAACAATATAAAAAAAAAAAGAACAAAATATATAAAAATATACTACTATAGAGAATTCAATGTTNAAAAAACGTTCGATAGACTTGAAATTTGGCCTACTATGATACCTTACAAGGATTAAATACTAATTGATGAATTTACCTAAATTTTCATTTTTTTTTCTTAGGATAAGACTAGACTAGACAAGACAGGACTAAGATAGATCATTTCAAATCAAATGTACACCTCGAGTTAACTATGAAAACTGGGGATTTGCTTTTACAGCATGAAAAGTAGATTTAAAAAGAAAAATGATAAAAATAACACAGAATTATTGTTGGGTGAATACTTTCAACAGATTAAAATTAGTCGAAAATGACAAGGACTGAATCATCGGGAACGACGTCGTTTGACAGGCACCGCCACTAATGTACGCCCGTCGGGTATCTCATATACTGTAATGATTATATCGGCGTTGTTTTAGGGTTATTTTCGTCGTCCACAGCGAATTAGGTTCGTTTCCCAACAAAGGTTGTAATTAATCACTGACCCGAAAATGAATTACTACTTTATTTTAGTTATTAGTTTCAGTGGTGGCGTTGATTTCTATGCTACACATGGCAGGCCACTAAGATGCGCCTGCTGCTTCACAGTGATTGACCCGTTATGGGCTCAAATGGACTGGCCCATTAACGAAGGCACTGATTCATAATTTTTATTATGTATTTTATTTTATTATATTCTATCTTATTTGAGTATTAATGGCCATGGTTTTGGCAGCCACCTCGCACGTGCTCTTCTGTTCCCTATTTATGCTTTGAATTTTTGCAAATCTATTTATCTTAACAAATGTTATGGAGAAGTCAAAATTGTAATTTAATTATTGAAAAATCTAATAGAAGATATTCTGTTAATCGAAATTAACCCAATAAAAGAAGACATAAATAGAAGTAGAACTAGTTATCAATCAAAATTAATAGTTTTCCTCTTCAAGAATTTATTTTTGGCTTAAAGTTGGGCTAAGGATGCAACAAAGGGTAGGGGACAATGGATTTCAAGTTGGTCCTTAGGACTCAAATATAAATTGCTTTCTCAAGTCAGGAAAAAGTTGGGGGAAGAAGAAGAAAATAAAAAAGCGTGGTCCTTTGCAAGACCTTTTAATGCATATATAGGAAGAAAACTACCAAAATTTATTATGCTTTTCTCAGCATTTTTCATATCCCACCTGCTTGCGTGTGTTGTCTACTAGTATCATACAACCAACTCACACGTCATTATTTATTATTATTATTATTATTATTATTAGAGGTAGTAGTAGCCTAAAATATCTATTATTTGAAAAGATATATTATTAGGAACGCTAATAACATTATAAAGATCAAAACTAATGAAATAATAAATTAGTGGGTATCTTATATAGTGCCCAAAAAAATAACCAAACAAATCAATTGATGGTAACAGTATCAAGCCAATAATAAAGTGTAACCAAATGGAACATAAAACGGAATTAGAGTCCATAAAACCCATTTTTATTTGGAGGAATATAACATGGCAACATAATTTCGCATTGATATAATCCACAGACCACATTTTCTACGCAGAAAATATCCATATCTCCCCAAAATTGTTGCACTTATTGACTCAAAATATATAATTAAANAAAAGAAGCACTAATGAGCCTTGACGTACCGAATAACAATATAATAGGACCACTAGATGTAAAGGGATAAATTGATAAGGGCCAAAAGGTAAATCCGAAAAGATGTCACTGTTAAGGAAAAGAAGACGAAAAATATCAATTACTGTGGTCAGTAATTTAACATGTTTCTAGCACCAAAAGAAAAAATAATTTCAGAAGTAAATAAATAAATAAACAAAGGCATGAATAGCATGACTTTGTCCACATTATGCTATTCACAAGAATCACAATTCACAAGGCCACCACTATATATTTTTCCAGTTTCCAAGTTATTTGAGAAATAAATAATGGTAAAATAACTTGTAGTCGTCTCGATTATGAGGAAGTAAAAAAACGCGAAATCCTTATCGATAGACTCAATGTTCAAATAATTAGCGCGGCTTTATAGTCCATGGTAGCACAAATTAATACACATAAAGTCAATAATATGGTCACCGATTAGTAAGGCTATAGAATCAATATGTACTTGTAACTCAATATACAAACCGATAGACTCGATAAAAATTAATTTTTCTCGATTGATACGAATAATATGCCCATAAATCAGGGGTAATACACCAATAAATAGTTAGTCTCGCCAATAAATAATTAGTCTCGTTTTCTTGTCCAACACTAGCTAAATAAATACTAAAAAAAATATGTTCATGGATGACACGAATAAAAATATGGTCATAAATAACTATTGACACGAAGTAATAAGACCATAAGTAGTTACTCTTGCCTTTCTATCCATAACTCCACCGAGTTAATATTATCATAAAATTAAACATTATAATACGATGTTCAAAGATTACGAAATGTTAAGAGTATTGCAATATTTTGGGCCTACTTTTGTCTCTACTTTTGTCTATATAGGTGGCATGAAAATTAACTCGATGAAATGGATAAAAAAAATATAAAATTAATGAAATTCAACTCAATGCAAGAGATTATATCTCTTCTTGGTCTAAAATAAACTTAAGTGTAGATCGAGTTATTTTTCTTGCTGTCACATTAGTAAAACCCAGTCTACCTTCACTTGAATTGTACTATAATATATTTTTTTGACTGAGTTTGTTATCTAAGTGACATATAATTTTTTTTTATTAAACCCAAAACATTATGAACGTAACATCTTATAGGATTAAATCCAAAACATTATGGACGTAACATCTTATAGGATGAGCATTACCGTATCAAAAGTAAAAACAAAGAAATAAATATGAATTGAAGATTCTAAGAATTCTACTTCGCCCAAAACATAATTTACAGAGGCTACTGTTTAAAACTACACTTTTATTTTTTTATTTTTTTCGGTACAAACATTTTTTTTCTTAAAGAATGTTCCATTTTTTTTTCCTCTTTCAACCTACCTTCCATTCTGCGCTACTAGGGCTAGTAAAGTAATTCACTACAACAACCTACTATGACGTCATGTTGACGTGTAGTGTTGCGTCCATGCTGGAGTCACAGACGGGACACGTCTGCAGCCGCCGCGACCCGCCGCCCCCGCCGCATGTCCCGCACAGGCACAGGTGCCGGCACGGCAGCAGCAGCACGCAGGCCTCCCTCTCACCGCACATCCGGCACATCCTCTCCCCATCCTGGCCGTCGCCGGTGCTGCCGCAGCACGACTCGGCGTCCTCCTCCTCCTCCGCGGCGGCGCCGCCTCCGGAGACTTGCAGAAGGACCTGCGCCAGGTTAGATCGGAGGGAGTTCGCGGCGGCCTCGTTGGACTGCGCCAGGTCCCGCCATAGCTGGTTCTCGAGGTAGAGGCTCTTCACTCTTTCTTGAAGGGCTAAATTGACTTTTCCCATTTCCTGGATTTGCTCGTCTTTTTCCCGTAATTTCTTCATTAAACCTTCGCCGACGGCAGCCGCTAGCAGTCTCGCCTGCTTCATCTGCCTCTCTTCAAGCTCCAATCTGATTTTCTTGTTCTGCACGATATTTATATTTTAATTTTAAAATCTTCAGGATCAATTCTAGAAAGTTGAAATAAATCTACGTAATACATTAATTGAAAATAGATTTTTCAAAACCTCCAATCAATGCATAATTTTTATAATCTTAAAGAATATATATTTTTTTTAAAAATTGAATTTTGTTAACATATATATATTTATATTTAAATTCAAGTACTATGATTTATAAAGAAACGTACGTTTTAAATTCAAGTACTATGATTTATAAAGAAACGTACGTGTTGGGAGATAATGGCGTCGATCTCCGACTGGTACTGCGGTAATTGCGGCATAATGTCCTCGCCGGCGGGGAAGGAAGACGGCAGCTGCTGGGAAGAAATACCCTGCTTCGCGGGTGCAGGGAAACTCGGTACAGCGTAATGGTGATTGGCCGAGTCCCGCTGGCGCTTTCGCGGTACGTTGTACGTGAGGCCGCTGTCGGTGTTGAAGGAAGTCTTCGCCTGAGCCGAATCGCCCACCGCCAGCCGGTAAAGCGATTGATATTCCGGCAAGGTAGCGCCGGCGAAACCCATCTGCGGATTGAAGTTTGTCTGGTTGGAAGGATTCAGATACTCCCTAGATTGGGTAAGATAGAAATCAGCCGGAAATAAATTACGTTAATATACCAAAAACGTTGGATTAGAAAGATACCAGAGCAGTTAATGGGTGGGATAAGGAATGATTGGTTGAAATTACCAGTCCTGAACGAGTTGGCCGGGAAAAAGATTAAGATGCCTTGCTTCAACTGCCATGGGAGGTGTAGATTTGTGTTGTGATTTACCTTTTCCAACTTTTTTTGGTTCTGTTTGATTTAGATATAAAAAACAAAGGAAGAAGAGTAAAGCAAAGGGAGAGAATTAGTGGGGGGAAAATGAAGAGAATGGGATTTTGAGGATTTATATAAAGCGTTCGGTTTTCGGGATATGGAAGAATTCTAAAAAGTCAAATGAATTGTGGAGATAGAAGAGAGAATAAATAGTGAGGAGAGATAGAGATGGGAAATTCATACTATACATCTGCATTGATTTTAGCACCCAAAAAAAAGG